AAAACTTAATCTGTTCTCCTAAAACCCAGTAAAGATATTAGATTCCAACAGATGATTGCTGAAATTCTTGGGAGGAAAATATTTAGCTTTGAAGCTGCAACAGGATTCCAATCTCCATACACTAGTCCCTCCTACCCATATATCACAGCTCCTGAAAATGGTCCTAGATTTAACTTTGTGTCCAGTGACTGCCCAAACAAACTTACGTAACTGATTTACTTATTCATCGATTTGGTTTAAATTACAGACTGGCACAAAGGTGCCATGATAGGGAAAAGGTCTGTGTTTTTATGGAGCTTATGTTGCAGTGTTGATCAGTGTTTATTCTTCCAACAAATAGTGAAAGAATGTCTAGCTTATACTAGATACTGTTGTGAATATTGGTGACTAAGCAATAAGTACAAGAGTCACTTTATGGATCATTATAATAGAACTAGAGGCCTGGTGCACTAATTCATGCATGGTGGGGTCCAGCCAGCCCGCCGTGATCTGGTCAATTGGGAGGTTGGCCGGCTGGCCCTGCTCCCAATCGGGCCGGTTGGCCGGCCACAGTGAGCACCATAGCCACCAGTTGTTCCAGTCGTTCTGTTCGCTTGGCTTTTATATATATGGATGATAGCTAACTGTAGGGAGTGCCCCTGTACTGATATGCTTCTGTTTTAGGATGCTAATTGGACATTTTGGCCCATTCACTGACTTAGACAGCAATGAACTCTGGAAAAGAAGGGGTCCCATAAACATTTCCACAATGTCTTAATATCAGTCTGAACAGCTCAAGAGAAGTAAACTAAAAGACCAAGTAAAATATGTCTACTGGAAAACAGGAAAAGAAATAAAAGAAAATATAATTTTTTAGAAGTTCTAACTACTTAGTTGAATACTACTTTATGTTGTTCAGAAATCAAATTTTGAATTCTTATGTTTATCATCCATCTATTCCCCAATGGCTGATATGATTCATCATATCATATGTTTGTATCTCTCATTCCAGACAACTCTTTGAAAATAAATTGATCAATCACTTAAATATTAACCAATCACTATTTATTAAGTACCAACCCTATACCTCATATTGGCTAGGTTCTGGGAGCTTAAAGATCAAAGTTATAGTTTCTTCTTCAAATCACACTTTAATCCAGGGACTTTAAGAAGCAGATCTCAATTTCAACATGGGAGATTTACCTAAATTCTCTAAATTCACAAGGAAATATAACCAAATGAATGATAAAAAAAAGTCATCATCATCATCATCATCATCATCATCATAGTAAAATAGCTTTTTACTATTTAAACAGCTTTTTCATAAACATGATTTTGTGTTCACTAATATTCTGAGAGGAGAGATTATCCTATATAATAAAGAGGTTATATGCAAATTGAACATCATTCCAACACACAAGATGGCTGCCCCCATGTGGACACAAGATGGACAGCAGGGGAGGGCAGTTAAGGGGGACCAGGCCTGCAAGGAAGGGAAGTTGGGGGGACCAGGCCTGCAGGGGAGGGAAGTTGGGGGGAACCAGGCCTGCAGGGGAGGGAAATTGGGGGCAATCGGGCCGGCAGGGGAGCAGTTAGGAGTTGATCAGGCTGGCAGGAGAGTGGTTAGGAGGTGATCAGGCTGGCAGGCAGAAGCAGTTAGGGGCAGGTGAGTGGTTGGGAGGCAGCTGTCCTGGATTATGAGAGGGATCTCCAACTGCCCATTTAGGCCCAATCCCACCGGGCCTAAACAGACAGTCAGACATCCCTTGAGGGGTCCCAGATTGGAGAGGGTGCAGGCTGGGCTGAGGGATACACACACCACCTCTGTGCATGAATTTCGTGCAACGGACCTCTAGTTATTATATTAATTCTCATGGGTAATGTCTTAATATCAGTCTGAACAGCTCAAGAGAGGTAAACTAAAAGACCAAGTAAAATATGTTTACTGGAAAACAGGAAAAGAAATAAAAGAAAATATGATTTTTTAGAAGTTCTAACTACTTAGTTGCAACGGACCTCTAGTTATTATATTAATTCTCATGGGTAATCTTAGGATCAGGGAACTTAAAAACTTGGTCCAAATTAATACATATGGTAAGAAACAAAGATATTAAGCCCAGGTTTTTCCATTCCAAATTCCCATGCTTTTCTCATTGCACTTTGCCATTTAAGATTAGCATTCATCAATGACCTGGGTACCAATAGCTTCTTCTAAACCTAGAATGCCCTTCCCATCATCCACCATAGATTATTTTTTATTCTGATGATACAATTGAAATTATGTTTAGAAAAACATTCCAGAATCTCACAGAGACACTATTCCTCCTTAGAGAGCCTCGAATGCATAGCCCCTCTGTCTTTCAGGGCCTCCTTTGAAATATGAACCTAGGGGAAGAGTTTGGATTGCTTTGACCTTAACTGTTATCAGTACACAAATGTCCTTTTACTCTATATCTTCTTTGTGTCAACTCCCTTGCATTACTGCTAGCTGCCTCCAAGCTTGCCAGAATCAAGAACTTGGATAGAATCTAGCTGGAGGAAATTCAGTCCAGGCAAGACAAAAGTGATGCTGATAGGCAGACGTATTTAGAGTAAATAAGGAGAAGTGCTGTTTCACTGGCAATCGGGACACCATCCCCACCAAACATAAACAGCTTTGTGGTGTTACTGGACTCTGTTGCTTCTGGACTTCCTAACAGCTACTGTGGCTGGAAATGCCATCTTCCATCTCCAGCTGGCTTGAAGGCTGCATACTGTCTTCCAAATTAAGATTCTGCCACAGTGATGTACACATTTGTCATATCCAGCTGGACTACTATAATGCGTTCTAGCTGGTTCTCAATACACAACACTACATAAACGTTACAGACAACAGTGTAAAGTAATTTGCTTGTTGGGAAAACCAGCCATCAAAATGAGATGCAGGCTTAGGTCTTTGGACGGGCCGCATGGCTGTCAAATCTGTAAAGGAGCATTAACTTTAGTCACTAAAGACTAAGTCACATCATAGGCTGATATGAGTCCAAAGCCCAAAACTTTGTAATGAGGATAGAAACAATAAATAAATAAATAAAAAAGAGCGAATGAAAGAAGAAAATGTCAAATTCATAGCATGGTAGACAGAGCCTTTGATTTTTAGTCATGGGTTTATTTCCCTGCTTGCCTTTCAAAATAAGACTTTTGACCTATGACCCACCCTGAATATGTCTGATTTAAATGGGTCATCATTTCTACACTTTCTGTAGTACATTCTTACTCATTGAAAAACAATGAACAATAAAACATTACATTAAGTGTAAAGTCACTTGTGAAATTCACCCTATCAAAACACCTAGAAAACCCACTACTCCTTCAGTAATATGAAAAATTACAACTAGGGACATATTTTTTCAATAAATTATCTCCAATTATGATTCTCAAAGAATGTTGAAACTTTAGAGGAAAAAAAGCATGTGTATTATTTGTAATTTCCCTATTTGGAACAAGACTAAATGGCATAATGTATAATATTAGCCAGAGATTGGCAAATATTTTCTCTAAAGACCAGATAATAAATATTTAGGCTATGTGGGCTATGTAGTTTCTGTCCAAATGCTCTTGAACTGCAAAAGCAGTCAAAATATATAAATGAATGAGCATGACTGTGTTCTAATAAAGCTTTATACACACTGAACATTTATAAATCCAAAAACCATTCTTAGGTTTGGGGCCTTGCAAAAACCAGTAGCAGTCTGGACTTAACCCATGGGTCATATGTTCTGATCCCTGTTGTATGGAAGTATACTAAATAAGACATAAAATTCCACACCATAAGGCCCTAAATCACTACCTCTGCCACTATCTTCCTAAGAAACCTTGGGCAAGTTATTTAACCTGCCTCAGTTTTCTCATCTGTAAAACAGACCTCATAACATTATACACCTCAATGGATTACTCTGAGCATGAATTCTGATAATACATTTTGAAAAATATACTAACTGCACATAGTAAGTGTTCATTACATAGTCTCTATTGGCACACAATGTTATTCTAGAAGTAACTCTTTAGCTAATTTCAATGCAAGAATTAGGAAAAAAAGCCTTTTGGTGTTTAAGTGTTTAAAATTATGTTTTATGTGACTAGATATTCTCTTCCAGAGCAAGGAGGGATCCAGATTTACCCAAAGATGCCAAAGAACATTTGGAACGGGGCCAATCCATGGGCCAGCCGCAAGTGGCAAAACCTGCCTAAAAGGCCAGCTCCATCTGAGCGGACACCTACCCGACTTCTGTCTTCAACGGTCAACAGCTCCACGGCCACACATCTATCCAGGACATCTCTGACCAGCAGCCTCTCCACCAGGGTGGGCTGCAGGAGGGTCAGCAGTTGGAAACACTCATCGTTCGCGTTCTCGCTGGAGGGAGAGGGCAGGTCCCTGAGCTCAGGGTCCATGTAGCGGGCGGCGAGGGGGTTGCCTGCTCGCCGGAGGGCCTCCACGAATATGCGGGTCCAGCCCGGGGGCCAGACCCCCTTCGCCAAGGTGCTCAGGAGCAGCTCCGCGGCGCCGATGTTCCCGTGGGTGGCGACCCTCGTCTGGATCTGCTCCTTCACCTCCGCAGGCAGGAAGGTCAGGTAGTCCAGCACGGGCTCCACCTCGATGTACCTTCTCACTCTGGCCCGGAAGCACGAGAGGAGATAATGGAAATTCTTGTCCGCGGAATGCCCATTCGTCATTGTTCCTTCTCAGAGGAGGGAGAGGTCCCCCCACCTAGACGGACAGGTTGCTGTTCTCCGCTCAACAGGTGCTGTCAGCCCCGTGCCTGGGGGCAGCAGGCTGTGCAGCAAGGTGCCTGGCAGCGACGGGGCTGCCCGCAGAGCACCCGATGGTTCGGCGGGGAGGTCGCCCCTGGCAGGTGGGCAGGTGGGCAGGTGGGCGGGACGCGGCTGCGGACGGACAGACGGAGCGGCCGCTTGGTCTCTGCAGTGCTCGCCGGCCCAAACCAGGCTGCTCCCCAGCGCATTCCGGTGGGAGCTTTAAGCCCAGTTTGCCAGGCGGTTTCTGTTTCGATTCTCCGCTCCCGTCAGTTTCCAAACGTCAGGCGCAGGGCGGGGAGTGGCGGCCGGTCCGAGAGGGACACCCTTTGGTCGGATCTGGCAAGGGCAGCGCTTTGGCCCAGGGCGCGGTGGGGCGTAGAAAAGGAAAGCGAACTCCCCCGGGGGCAAGGCAAGGCGAAGGGCCATGCTCTCCCCGCGGGATTCCGTCTTCCTTGCAGATTCCGCCTCTTTCCCGAAGCCGTCAGCGCACCCCCTGTCAGCTAACATGTGGGGGGCTGTGAAAGCGCCTGACTCGGGACTTTCCAGCCTGTCAGTGAAAAGAAACCGATGCCAACAGGAAGGAGTTCGCCTTGGCTGGGGAATGCAGGCAGGTTCTGGCCCCGCCAGAGAGGTAAGACTGCAAGGGACAGGGGGAGAGAGGAAGTTTCCAGAGGTGTAACCCCAGAGCCCCAGGATGAAGGGACGTCTGCACCTTTTCTAGATATAAACCCGATGTTCTGAGGGTCCCCAAGAAGCAACATTGTCCACAGGGAATTTCTGGGTGGGTACGAAAAAGAGTGAGTCATGATAAAGTTAACTTCAGTCCCTCATTTGCAGATTGCAGTATTTATTTTCTGCTTTGACCAGGGCCTGGTGATAGACACAGAGGGACTTGAACCACCGACTCAGTTTAGGAGGAAGCCAAGATTGAAGGTTTCCTCTCCCAGCATGTAAATTCCCCATATTCTTTAATATACAACTTTCCTTTAATAAAACAAAACAAAATCCCCCAGCAACTTATTTTTGACATAGCTGCCATTCTTTTCTTGGATTCAATACAGCAAGTTTTGGCTGAGGCAGCTAGGAACTTAATTAGCAACTAATGTACCAACTTGTAGTAAACATCAACATTTGTCTATGTCATGAAGGAAAAAAAAAAAAGACACCCACACTGAAAAATGGCAGCTTCATTTTAGTGCAGAAGCCATATAAACACGAGTCCTTCAGGTTGCTACTCAGGCATTCTGCCACCCTGGGTGACTACGGGTGGTAGTACATAGGCTTCATAATGAGAACGCCATGGTCCAGAATTAGATGGAGGATGGAGGGGTCATTTAAGCTATGAAAAAGATGTGTTTAGGAAAATTAATTTGTTAGCAAGCTCATTCAGTGATGTTTTTCTAGGCCAGGGGAACCTGGCCATGCTTTTGCCTGTATAAAAGAAATACAGTAGGATGTGGAGAAAAGGGTATCCTTGTGCACTGTTGGTGGGAATGCAGACTGCTGCAACTACTGTGGAAAACAGTGTAGAGTTTCCTCAAAAAAATTAAAACTGGAGCTGCCTTTTGACTCAGTGATCTCACTTCTGGGAATATATTCAAAGAATACCGAAACACCAATGAGAAAAAAAAATATGTTTATGTTTACAGCAGTATTATTTACAATAGCCAAGATCTAGAAACAGCCCAAGTCCAAAGAATACCGAAACACCAATCAGAAAAAAAGAATATGTTTATGTTTATAGCAGCATTATTTACAATAGCCAAGATCTAGAAACAGCCCAAGTGCCCATCGACAGATGAGTGGTTAAAAAATCTGCGGTGCATCTACACAATGGAATACTACTTGGCTATAAAAAAGAAGGAACTCTTATACCTTTGAGATGAGTGGTTAAAAAATCTGCGGTGCATCTCCACAATGGAATACTACTTGGCTATAAAAAAGAAGGAACTCTTATACCTTTGAGACAGCATGGATGGACCTGGAGAATAATAAGGTAAGTGAAATAAGTCAGTCAGGGAAAGTCAAATACCATATGATCTCACTAATATGTTGAACGTAAAGAACAAAATAAACTGATGAACAAAATGGAACTGGAAGCATAGAAACATGGGACAGACTGGCCGGTGCCTGAGGGGGGTGACTGGATAAAGAAGGTGAAGGGATTACCTAAAGAACATATATGCATACCCCATGGACATGAACAATAGTTTGGTGAAGGCCAAGGGAGGGAGGGGGCAGAGGTAGACAAAGTGGAGAGAAATCGGGGACACTTGCAATTATGTCATTTTTATTTATTTATTTTCAGAGAGAGAAAGGGGAGAGAGAGAAACATCGATTTTTTGTTCTACTTATTTATGCATTCATAGGTTGATTCATGTGCCCAGACCAAGCAACCAACCCACAACCTTGGGGTATGGGGATTGAAAGTTTCGGAGTGGGCTGGGGTCGTGCACCTATGACATGAGGCCATAATGTATCAAAAGAGATTTTATTCCGACCACCTGGGTGCAGGTGGGCTGAGACTGAGAAAGGCATCAGCGAAGAGAGCAGGGAGTGATAGGTTTTTATTAATTTTTGCTGGCTGCAAGCCGCTCTGCTAATGGGAGGGTTTGGTCTGTCCTTGGTTCCTCCCATGCCAGACGTCTTCTGGTTATCTGAGCTATGCGGTGTTCAAGGCGGCAAGCTTTCTGCAAGATATCTGCTAAGCACAGTAAGTTTTTCTTTGCCCCGTCCATTCTCTTTAACCCTTTCAGGGGTGACGCTCTAACCAACTGAACTACCCAGCCAGGGCGGAATCTACCATAACATTTTATTTTATCTTTAGATTTTTTAAAATTGATCTTTTAGAGAGAGAGGCAGGGAGAGGAGGGGAGAGAGAGAAAGAGAGAGAGAGAGAGAGAGAGAGAGAGAGAGAAACATCGATGTGAGAGAGAGTAATGAGCTGCCTCCTGCATGCCTCCCCTGCTCCCTTCCTCGGCATGTGTCCAGACTAGGAATCAAACTGACAACATTTCAGTGCACAGGACAACACTCAACCAACTGAGCCACACCAGCCAGGGATCTACCATGATCTTCATTGCACCTCTTCTGGGGGAAGAATGTTAAAGAGACAAAGCCAAACCACAGGATCTCGAATGTATCTTTTCTCTTTATCTATATTTTTGCATCATTATTTACTTTATTTTTGGCCTTTTGTTTGAATACTTGTTAGTTTCTTCTAACAGCTATCATTTTCATCTTTCCTTTTGTTTTCTAAATGTAAGTTTCTGTTTCCTTTCTCCTTTGAGGTGGAAAATCCTGCTGATCTCTTTTTCTTTTTCCTAGACCTGCCTATTCTCTTTAAACTCAAAAGGCACATTTCAGTCTCCATCAGTTTAAAAAGCCTCCTTTTAGTATTTTGTTCTTTAAATAATATGTCAGGAATATACTAGATAATAGATTCCCACTGTTATCCAACTTTTCATTTGAGTTTTCTACAATTAAGAAATAGTTAAAATCATAGCTGCCACTTTTTTTGACAAGCCAGAGCGACAACTTAATGGCCATACATGGCAGGGATGCCTTTTCCAAAGAAAAGGACAACAAATTTAATTTAATGAGGGAATCTTTTTAGAATTATTATTATTTTCCTTCCTTAGTTTACTAATTGTATCAGTAAAGAGCCTACTCTGTATAATTTCAAGTTAGCCTAGCAATATAGAGTTGTGGTGAAGCATAGGGACTCTGAGCTCAGGATGCCAGAATTCACATCTCAGCACTGTCTATTAATTGCTGTGTGATCTTGAGAAAAATCACCTCAAATTCCTCAGTTGTAAAATGAGAATGATACTAGTACCGTGTCATAAGGTTGTTAAAAGGATAGACTGTTAGCACTTAGCATCAAGCCAGGAATATTATATTTGCTCTATAAGTGACTGCCAGCATTCTTACACAAACAATGGATAAGAGATGGTACTATCCCTCAAAGAATATACACTTTAATAACTAGCCATGTAATTAAGTTTCTAGACAGAATCCCGTTTTGCAAGAAACAGAAGTTGATATGCTGATTTAGCAGAAAAGTTTATCAAAAGATACTGCCGTGGCTTTATATCTCAAAAACATAAGTAGGCCCAAAATAGAAATTCTGACAATGTTTACCAGACCATGATATACATTTCTTAATTACTTCCTCCAATTCAGTAATAAAATCTGGTTTTAAAGCTTTTCTATATGACAAACAGTTTTGTCACCCCGACTCCCCCCCCAAAAAAATCAAGTATCAATGGAAAATTTTTCCCAAATATCCATTTTTCCAAATGCTTCCTCCACAGATTAAGTCTCTTCAAAAACAGTTACTTGCACATGTTTTTATGAAAACAGTATCTTTACCTCAAAGGTGCTGCCTGGCCTCAAAGGCACTTCTTTGACTTAATTTAAAATAATTGCTTAAGAGCAAACTACAGTAAAATGTAGTGCCATTGTCTTTGCCTTGAAACCCGGGTTGACGTTTAGCTGGTAGACAATTTGGAGTTAGCTCTCTCAACCTGTGTCCATCCGGATTGAGGGGGTGTCTGTTCTACTTCTGAGTACCCACCCTGTAGAATTAATTATATATTTTTATTTAACCTCTGAAATATTATTACTGACAAAGTTTTGGAGTAGGAGTAGGCATGCTGTAGAATGAGTTATTGAAATCAAATATTGGGGTAAACCGAACCAAACTTTTAAATTGCTAAATCACAAAGGCTGGAACTAAAATTTTAAAAAATAAAAAAGCACTATCAATTTATAATATTTTTTATGATTAATGCACTAAATTATATCAATTAAATTTAAAAATCTTCTTTCATCTTCATCTGACTCCTTAGTTTTTAATGTTTATTTGTATTTTATGTTGTTGTTATAGTTGTACATGCAAAGATTTTCTAAATAAATAGACAAATATTTATTAAGGCTCATGTTCAAATATTTTTACTGGTAGGGATCAAGAACAAAGTACTTGAAGACCACACTCTAGAGAACCTCCTAAAGGCCAGAGATTTTGATGAGTGTGAAGAGCAAAGAGGAAGAATGAAAGAGGAAGCTGTGTAGGTGAAAGGAGAGAGAACTCTGGAAAGAGATGGGTAATTCAGCATTTAATCTTGGAAGTGCTAGAACATGCCAAGACTCTGGTATTATTATTGCTGTATGACAAATGTCAGTAAGTCAAACATGGAACCTGAATATATTTTATATCCTATTGTCAGACATGGTGTCCAGACACGTTCTTGTATTGAATATTAAAAAAAATATATTTTGTTATTTTAAAAAAAGTTTATCCTGTAGACATTTCAGGCAGGATATCAGATAATATTGAAGAAGATTTATTAATTACTAAGTAATTCCATCATCCAGAGATGGGCATTTTTAATATTTTAAGTGTATTTCCCATCAATACTTCATTATGTGTGTGCATGCATACACACACTCCATTTGTTCAACAGAGAGTGAGCTGAAATGGTCTCAACTGTAGAGAAGGGATCTCTAAGGAAGAGTTCTCTGTAGGGGGATCCTGTTAACATGCCAAGGGGAGGAAGAGCCTGTGAGAACTTCCTTGTGGCAGGGATATTTGGGCAACAGTTCCTAATCCCATACAATAAA